AGCTCCCTTTGAACCAGGATTCCTATTTTGGGGAATTTATTCTATGGAAATGTACAAAGATGCATAACAAAGCTCTTTAGTGGCCAAAAAATGAAATAAGTAATATCTAGCTATGAGTGACTAGTTTGTGAATATTATTGACATAGAAAAAATGCATGATTTATTTCTAATGGGAAAAAAAAAATCAACTTGCACAATCATATTATTGTCTGATCTCGTTTTGTGACCATCATTATTATTAATTATGCTTATAATTATAGGCATATACATATCCCGGAGATAACCAACACCAAGTGGTTAATACATCTCTGTTCTGGTTACCTGCTGCAGCACAGCAACCCACCTTAAAACTCAGAGGCTTAAAATAACGACCAATGATTATCATGGCACTTGGGCTGGCTGGGCTCAGCTGGGTGGCTCTTGCCAAGGGCAGCTGGGACTGCAGTCACTTGAGGGTTCCACTGAGCTGGCTCAAGATGGCCCGCGTGGTTGTTGGATGTCACCCATGAGTTCCCCTGGAGCTTTCACCCAAAGCCCATGCACACGAATTCTCCGTGGGCTTGGGCTTCTCACGGCCGGGTTCCAAAGGGCGCCCTTCAACAGCAAGTATTCAGAAGGGCCACTTATGACCTGGGCATGCGGGCCACGCCTGCCATAGTCTGTTGGTCAAAATTAAGACATAGGACCCGTTCCAGCCCAAAGGGATAGACTATACAAAGGTGTAAATACCAGGACGCTGCTCACTTCACGGCCATCGATGAGGCTAAATACAGCATCGTCTCTGGAAGACGGGATGTGGGCAGGCTTTCACTTCCTAATTTCTAAGTAGGAGCTAAATGTACAAACTTGGGGTACAATAACCCTGGTTTATTGTGCTGGCTTAGCACTCGCTTGCTGTGTAGCCTCAGGCAAGTTACTTAACCTCTCTGAGCTTCAATGCTCTTCACTAATAGTACAAATCTCATAGGGTGATTGTGAAGATTAAGTGAGATATTGTGTGTAAGATGCTTAGAAATGCCCTGTTCCTAGTGAAGTCAGCTAGTAATATTACACAGTGTTATAATGTTTAATTTTTTCTAAGTGTTTTACTTTTGTAATTAAAAAATAATAATTTTAAAGACAAAAAAAGGAAAGGAAGTAAGAGGTACAAACTCGGAACTCCTTGACGGTGCTCTGTTCCGGCTGCCCCTCCCAAGGAACCTGCAGACACCTCTGAGTCCTCATGGACACAGAAAATGCCTCTGGAAGACCTTGACCCTTTCCCTCTGCACCAGGAGACCGTTCCGTGGTGGAGTCCGACAGCCTACCTGTGTCATTGCCTCAGCCACTCCCCAAATCCTCTCACATCTCAGCACAGTAAGTTGCAAAAAGTACAGGAAATGAATTCCCCCAAGAATATAACCAAGAAAGCTTTGCGATCACAAACCATGAGCTTTATGTGACCCGAGAGCTTAAATCTGTCCAGTGATACCACTGAAGGACAGGATCTGCTTTCTAGAAGCACCAACATTCTGGTCGTGAAGTTCACTGGGGCTCGCTTGGTTGGATTGGCTGAGTTTCCACAACAGAGTCTTGGGTTAGTCAGTCTGAGAGAAAAGCCAAGCCATGGAATTTCAGGCAGTAGTGACTTGGGTTTCTCCGCTTATTCTCCCATTATAAATACACACGGATTCTGTCAACAACGCTCCCTCTCTTTGGAGAAAAACATGCCACTGTGGAAATGAACAGATTTTTTGATGTGGTCCCAGAATTACGGCAAATGTCAAGCCTTTAAGAGTCGAAAAAAACCTTCTCATTTCTTTTTCAGAAAATCGATAAGCAAGTAACCTTCCTTTCCCCGTGGGCCTCTGTGGCCCATGGGTCTCTCCGGAGGATCTCTTAAGTGGTCTCGATGGTGCCCTGGGGGCATCTACCTCTACAAAAGGAATGGGAAACTCAGTGTCTGCGGGTTAGTTTCTCCAGGGAGGCAATTACTAGAAACTTCAGGAAATGTCAAATATGAATACCTAGCAATTTCCCTAGCAGCTGATGACTTGCCTGACTTAAACCATTAATTAGATGGGGCAGAAATATTTTTAAAGAGTTTGGATATGGAGAATTTTTAGTACCACACTTCAAAGCAGGGTTCAACTGGGGAGTGAGAGACAGCGGTGAGCTCACTCTCTGCAGAATATTTATAGCCTTTTTTTTTCCTAGGGAGACCCCAGCACTATTCATTCCTCCTTCCCCAGAGCCTGGGTGGGGGTGGGGGTGGGAGGCGGAAACACCACAGCGAACGTAAGCATTGCTTAATGGCTAGGGAAAAAAGAGGCTCTGAGAAATGATGGCGATTTTCTAAGTCAGGGCAACCTAGGGAACAGGAACCCCTTTCCTCCAGCTGAGAACCCTTTTCGAGGACCAAAAATCAGCAAAGCAGAACTTCACATGCCTTAAAGTCAGACGGAACTATGGTCACTTTCTGCCTCCCCCCACTCGGTATGTGGCTTGAGGCAAATTACCTAAAAATCCAAACCCGGGTCTTGAAAATATAATGTCGAGTGCAGAAAGCAGCGTGTTAGAGTTTACAAACTCGGCCCTGACGGCTGCAGCTTTGGGGGTGCCTCTGCGGAGCAAAGGACAGAAGGGAAGGATGGGGCTGGAGCGATTTCGAGGGGGACTTCGACTGTCTCTATAGCGTCCTTTTTTTTTTTTAAGGAACTGAAGCAAAGATGGCAAAATGTTAAAATCTGTTTCATTTGCGTACATCGGGGCGCGTATGTCACGAGATGTTTTTTACATGTGAACTATGGCATAGTATTTTAAAGAGAGAAGGAGAAAGCCAGGTCCAGTTGCCAGGTCTGCCACTGGACGCAGACAAGGGGCATGAGTTCTCCGAGAGTCTCGTTTGCAAAACAGGATGAACGGTGTTCGAGTTTCAGGGCCGACCGTGAGAGTTGACGAGAATGAATGTGTAGAATGCCTTCGAGACATTTTCCATTGGAATATCATTCTAGAGTGCGTCCCTAATGACTTTCTAGGTGCGTCTTGTTCAAAGAGACGTTTTTAAAACTGATCAGAAATTATGTGGGTGCATTTTCAAAACGAATCTGACCCCAAGAAAAATAGTACATTGCTACTATTCATGCAAAAACTCTCTACATGCATATTATATGAACATATATAAACAGATTACTTATCAACTGTGATTGCCCCAATAGAGGGGTATGTGGGTGGCTGGAGATCAAGGGGGAAGGGAAATTCTGCTTTTCCCTGCTATTCTTTTTAATTATGTACCATGTACATAGATTACTTACTCTAAAAATAAGCACAATTTATTTTTCAATTGATCTGAAGGTCATGACCTTCTCCGCTCCTTCGATTTTAAGTCCGCTTAGAAAGGAAAGGACCTAAAATCCAATTCCTAAAACGGTTTTTACGAGGTCATACAGTCCGGTCCCCTACACAAACGCGAGGCACGCAAAGCCGTCCCAGCCCCGTGTTCTGCATGCGGTCGGACAAAAGAAAGAGCGTGGGATCGAGGACTAGGAAATCTAGGTCTGGGCCCCGTCACCTGACTGCGTGGCTCTAAGCGAGCTCCCTACGCTCTCTGAGCCCCGTTAACGTGAGGACGGGGGTGGCACCAGCTGTCACGACTGCGTGAGGAACAAATAAACTGCAGTAAGCGCATAAAACTGTGACAAAATAGAATCCAGGTGTTTGTATGAGGTGTGACGTGTCATGCAGATCGTCCCTCGGAAGCCCTCGGTTCAGTCCCTTGGACTCCCACGGGAGGGCCCAATACACATAGGCCTGGGGCCCCCGCAGCCGCCAATAAAGTCACCTTCCTCGAGAGATAAAGCAGATTCTCTTCCCTCCACAGCGAACATCCTGACGGTGATCGTCCTCTCCCAGCTGGTGGCGAGGAGGCAGAAGTCCTCCTACAACTATCTCTTGGCCCTCGCCGCCGCCGACATCTTGGTCCTCTTTTTCATCGTGTTCGTGGACTTCCTGCTGGAAGACTTCATCCTGAACATGCAGATGCCTCAGGTGCCCGACAAGGTCATCGAGGTGCTAGAATTCTCCTCCATCCACACCTCCATCTGGATCACCGTGCCCTTAACCATCGACCGGTATATCGCCGTCTGCCACCCGCTCAAGTACCACACGGTGTCCTACCCGGCCCGCACGCGGAAAGTCATCGTCAGCGTTTACCTCACCTGCTTCCTGACCAGCATCCCTTACTACTGGTGGCCCAACATCTGGACTGAAGACTACGTCAGCACCTCCCTGCACCACGTGCTCATCTGGGTCCACTGCTTCACCGTGTACCTGGTGCCCTGCTCCATCTTCTTCATCTTGAACTCGATCATCGTGTACAAGCTCCGGAGAAAGAGCAACTTTCGCCTCCGAGGCTACTCCACGGGGAAAACCACCGCCATCCTGTTCACCATCACCTCCATCTTCGCCACGCTCTGGGCCCCCCGCATCATCATGATTCTCTACCACCTGTACGGGGCGCCCATCGAGAACCGCTGGCTGGTGCACATCGTGTCGGATGTCGCCAACATGCTGGCCCTTCTGAACACAGCCATCAACTTCTTCCTCTACTGCTTCATCAGCAAGCGCTTCCGCACCATGGCGGCCGCCACGCTCACCGCCTTCTTCAAGTGCCAGAAGCAACCCGCACAGTTCTACACCAACCATAACTTTTCCATAACGAGTAGCCCCTGGATCTCGCCGGCCAACTCACACTGTATCAAGATGCTGGTGTACCAGTACGACAGAAACGGAAAACCTATAAAAGTATCCCCGTGACCCCATGGGTTTGGCACCTGGTGCCTCTGTCTAATCCACTTCCAGGGGGAAGGTGGCCCAAGCGACAGCTGAACGGCTCTCCTTAAGAGTGCTTCCCTGACTTCCTGTCTTCACAGACTCGGCACCTCTCAGACCGGAAGAGGAGAAAAGATGGAAGGGAAGAAAGAAGACCATGAGCCTTGTTTCCATTTGTGCATTTAGTTTCACAAAGTCATGTGGACAGCTAAATTTCCTACCCGTGTGAAGACGCCCTTGGAGGTTCTGTCATCATCCTGTGGCCAGTAAGGACACACCGTAGAGAAATAGTCTAGGACTTAGCTTTGGCACCGTCCTCAGTCACCGGGAACTGCTCATTCGTGTGACACATCGAGCCACAGTAGCGCCTTAGCTGAGCCCACACTCTTCTTCCAAGAGCTGGGTCATCCATCGCTTCTGTGTGCTTTTCCCAGCAACGAACAGTGCTGACCGATTCGGGATTTTCCCAAGGTGCCCTTAGTCCTAGAGAGGGTCGTGGTCTTGAAGTGGCCTTGGCACCCCTAGCTGTACAATGAACTGTGAGGGCAGGGGCGTATTGAGTCCCATCCAGACTCTGGCGAGAGCTTCTCTGGAAAGGCTCCCAACCCACAGAACTCTGACCCTCAGACCTGGGGTCCAAGAGGCAGTCTTTCTATTCGCCATGATGTACAGATTTTTAGCTAGCTCCTCCAAAACAAAGACCCTGCCTGGTGCATGGGAGCGGGGAGGAGGATTTCTTGAGCCCAGAAAAACAAAAAAAATAAGCCCACTCTTGCCATCGTTCCAATCCATCCCTGTGTCCACCGTGTACAGTCCTTTTATTCAAAACAGCTTCTCGTCGCGGTTCCCGCCACTCAGGCTTCCCGGAGAAGCTCGTTACACAGAGATGCCAGCCCCGCCTCCTCGCTTGCCGAAGCCCTCACCAAATTGCTTTCTTCGAAGTGACTTCCAAACTGGATTTAATTTTTGAGGGTCAGGAACCGTAGCTCTCCAGGTGTGGAGAGAGGCACTCTCGGCTCTGCCCACAGTCCAGCTGGCTCTGCCATCCGGCCACAAATACAGACGCAATTGACATGGAAAGGTGCCCGTGTTGTCTGCTTGTCTGCCCTTGGATGCAGACAAGGGGTGGCTCCGAGGGGTGGTGCCAGTTTTCCGTGAAGCTATGTAACCCAGATCCTTTGCAGAATGATAAAATATGAGTTTATTTATTTATTTCCTCCTTGCCTGTCCAAGGCAAGAAACAGTTCAAGGGGGTAATTAATAGGGGCTTCCTTGGGAATCACCACGTGCGTGTGTGTGTGTGTGTGTGTGCATGCGCGTGCGCACACGCAAACGCACACACGCACACTTCTCTTAGGCTCTTCAAGGGGGTAATTAATAGGGGCTTCCTTGGGAATTACCACGTGCGTGTGTGTGTGTGTGTGTGTGCGCGCACGTGTGTGCGCGCGTGCGCACACGCAAACGCACGCACGCACACTTCTCTTAGACTTCTATGTATCCACTGATGTGTTTTGAAAGAGAAATCACGTTGGATTTCCTCTGAGCCTTTTTTTCTCTCCAGAGTCCCAGTATTTGAAACTGTCCCTGTTCAGAAAGAAATTTTCCAGTTTGGGAACTGCATAACATTTTTGGTACCTCGGGCTAGATGTTTACTGCATTCGTGCTTCTAAATGAGGAGGCCTGTCTAACCCTTTTTAAGGGGAACTTGGCGGTAAAGGCGTACAGTAACACAAGCCCTAAACTTCAGCCGATGCCCTCAGTGCTAACTCAGTATAATCGTAGGTCATGTTCATGCTGATTTTAATTCCTACTCCCTTTAAACGGCTGTAATAGAGTCTCATCTTCCCCAAAGATTAGATTCCAGAGTCAGTGCAAATTACAACAATCTGCCAGGCTCAGCTGCCTCTGCAAAGTCCTCAGGAATGAGCCCAGTTGGGACCCTAGTCTAGCCCTTAGGAACCCTAACGCAGCTGAGTACAGCTAAGTCTTTTTCTCCAGCAATGAAGAGGTGGCTGATTCTTTTTTTTTTTTTGGCTGAGGACAAGACAGAGTTGGCTTGTGTTTAGGGGCCATATTGTATGACTGACGTATCTGAGAACATTCGGTTCACGCCGATGCAGCAAGGTGCTCCCACGAGAGAAGGTTCGTGGAAGTCGTTTGAGGGGCAAACAGACTCGTGTCTCCAACGTCACCAGTGACGCAGTCTCCCCAGAGCACATGTGCACCGAGTGGAAAGGTGGGCAGACTCCCCAGATCCTATACATCCCATCTCTCTCTATTTCTTTTCTGCCAGGCGCGTGTGGTCAAATGCGTGTTCATTTCATGTGTGTGCAATGTGACTCCACCACACTCCCTTATGAATGAACATTGACCAAAGGCTACCTACACTGAATATATATATATATATATACACACACATTTATTTTTTAAATGCATAGCTCTGAAAAATGCTACTTTGAGCTATACGTGAATGAATCACAGAGCAATATCTATAAAGGTCAAGCAATTCCTTTTTCGGAATGTATGTAAGGCGGAAAAGGTGTATGTGAATCTCCACGCTCTCTGCTCCACATTTTTCATTATATGTAAAACTTAATCGTGGATGTTTAAAAAGTAAAAACTGCTGTGCATCTGGAATGTTACTCCTCTTTGCAATAGAGACTATACCAAGTAGTATCGTGGTCTCTTTTCCTTCTGACTATATTTTACATTTTGATAAAATAATATGTAAAAGAGGTCCGATGCTCGAAGGCACTCTAATGAGTTTCTGTGTTCTGGATAAAATCCACACGTGAATGCTCATTGGGTTAGGTCAATATATATCTCCTAACAATTTTCTCAGATAATCTACAACCTTTTCATTTATTATTATTTATAGTAATAATTGTGGACAATAATTAAAAGGTGTTTTTGTGGGTTTGTTTTTTTTTTTTAATTTAAGTCTTTTCTTTCGAGACAGTTTTGGAAATAAAGCCTTGAATTTTAAAGCCTGTCATGTAAACAGCTGCTGTTGATGGCACTTAAGTAATTGCCTTATATCGGGTTTTGGTTGATGCTTCCTCCTTCAAAGACTGTTAACGAGCATCTCTCATGGTGTGATCTGTGTCCTTCCCTGGACATTCAGTGACACTACGCATGTACATGCTGTGTCTTTCCACTGAACAATGCAAGGACTAACATGTCTCAAGGGGAAGGAAATGAGGAGGGTGACAGACCATAAAAGACAGACCGCAAAAGAGCCTGACCTTCCATTTTGCAAACCCTCTGCACCTGGAAAAGATTGCTTTGCACAGTTGGTACCTACTGGTCCAATATGGGGGGCCCGTCGGAAGCGAATAAAAGACTCTAACGTTGGCTATTCCAGATCAAAGATGGAATAGAACGTTACCATAGAAAAAGAGTAAATGTTCATATTTTCTTAACCAGATAATATATTGTGTTTAAACTTGTTTGTATGATAATAAATTCTAATATGGTGCACACTTTGTGTTTGGCGTTTGCATGTACGGTCAAGCCATTGCAGAACTCTGATTGAAATTTTTTAAATGAGCATCTTACTTATGCTTTGTGCTGGTGCCAGAATGAGATCTGAGTCCTACCTGCCCCGTGGTTAGCCAGATATGTTTCGTAATTTAAGACCACTGAACTCTGCTACCGATAACTCTGAACTAGGTAGCTTACTGGGTATAGATCTGAATTCTCTTCTGCCCACCTCCTTTGTATGTCTTTGAGACAGCGATAGTTATAATCTTAAGTACAAATCTAGCAAAATGGCTAAGAACTTGGATGTCAGTCAGTCATGGGTTCAAGTTCCAGCTCTACCATTTACTAGTTGTATGGCCTTGAGTAAATCCTTGAAGATTTCTGAAAAACTGTCCTCATCTAGAAAATGGTACAAAAGTTCATTTTTTTTTTCCCAGTTGCCTGCAAGGCACGTAGAAGCTCTCCTGGTCAGGAAACCAAGGTTTGAAGCCACTTCGTGTAGGTTGTAACTGTGCAGGCTCTGCCCCTTCCTGGCTGTGTGGCCCTGGGCAATGTTCTCAATCTCTGAGTCTCAGTTTCTTCTCCATAACATAGGGCTGATAGTGACTCCAGCACATACCTCGTGGGTGATTAATAATAGCAGAACTGAAAAGAGCCTCCAAATGTACATCATTTTCACAGATGAGGATGCTGGCCACGAAGAGGTTAATGATTTCGTCCAGGGTAGAACCCGGGTCACCTACCGCTCCATCCCTTCCACCCTGCCTCATTGCCTTCTCTGCAAGATTCTGACTCATCACCCAGAAGATCACATTATTTTCGTGCCCTTTTGAGAGCTGTGTCTACGGCATGGTTTTCCAACTCTTCAAACCCAGGCCAGCCAAGCATGAGATATATTATAACGGCGTCATAATTAAAACACTCAGTTTGACCTTTCCCTGTAAGAAAGAAACTTTTTAAAAATTGACTCTATCTGGAATCCTAACCACAGCTCTCAAACTAGCTATACATTTCCCACACAAACCACCATCAATTCTGACAGCCACCCACCAACTATTGTCACAATCTATCTTGGCAACAACTTGGAGAATGAAAGTAACTTACAAGTAGTTGAGAGGGGAGTACAGAAAAGCAAGAATTGTTGAAAAGATCACCAACTGAAGCTATGGGACATGACCGCAGTGTTGACCTTAATTTCGTTCACCGGCTCAGGGAGGCGGGACGAGAGTGAGCCAATGGAGGTTGGACCGGTAAGAAATCATCCTTTTATTAGTGCACTCAGCTCAATGTGATGGCTCAGCTCCATGGATGGAAGGTGTGCAATTAACCTGCATTCTGGCCAGACACAACAAGGCGGATTAGAGGCTCTCGTCTCCTGGGATAAATAGATACCGTGAACTTCCTGGGTTTATTGGGAGAATGTGTCACTGTCGTTCCAGCAAAAGAGAAAGAAAACTTTTCTGATTACAAAGGAGAAAGCGGGGCCACCAGGGAGAGAGATGCCTTCTCATCAACTCTGCGTGAGGAGTAATTAGGTCTGAGGAGCTGTTTCTGGATGTCAGAAACACAGTATTTTGTCTCCACTGGAGAGAGCAAGAGGGAGCGAGGCTTACACTGTTTGATCCAGATCAAACCCAAAAAGAACTCTTTGCAGGGATGGCTATTAACTCCATGAATGATTTTTCATGGGAGTTCTTCATATCTGCTTCTCTGGATATATTTCCAAATGGACTGCGTATCAGTCAGAGT